TAAAAGTTCTGAAAAAAGCTGTGTTTTGGGGGGGGGGGGGGGAGGAGCTCTCAAGTACCTGCATTCTATGAAATAAAAGAATTCACAGGGTGATGAATTCTCCTGTATGTAATAAACAAATTGTAAGGAAACCAGAACATGTTCCACAGCTAGGATAAGTACATGTACCGTGTCCTGAAAAAAAACTTAGGGCAGCCTAGATAACATTTCCCAGTAATCCAAGGTCTAATTTTCACAGTAATGAAACTTAAATGCCACACTGACTTAATTAGCAAATTTGACTTCATAATCTCATTTCCAAGTCCTCTGCACTTAAGTCCTTTCTCTTCCATGAGTAGAATATGGAGTCAGTGGGCTGAAGGACAAGAGAAGAATTCAGACACTTTAGGTTGCTAAGGGGCAGGTCCAAAGGTAGTGAGTTATTTCCATTGATTGTTCAGTCAGTTACAGATCAAACTCCTTGTTCTACTCTTTCATCCTTTCTCACTACTGCACTTGACTAGTCTTAAAAAAAAAAAAAAATTGCTGAAGAGAGACCATCAAGATGGCTCTGCTTTCAGTGTCTGGGTTTTAATTCCGACTTTGGCACTCACTATGACCTGGAGCAAGTTAGCAAACCTCACTCTGTGCCTCAGTTTCCCCTCTGTAAAATAGATAGTAAACAATGACCATCTCAGACGGTTGCTAAGATTAAATGAGATAATATATATACAGAGTCCAACATGCAGAAGAAACTCAACTAGTATCAGCTATTATCACTATTTTTATGTTAAGTAATGAGCCAACTTTATAACTATACTTTATCAAACATATCAAGCCACCATAGAGAAAGGTCTCCTTGCTAAGCAAAAATTTAACAGCAAATAGTGTTTAAAAAGCCACTGAAGTTAAAAATCTTGTGGAGAATGAGTCATAAGGAAGGAAGACATAGTAATAAAGATGGTAGAGATTAGTTTCTTAAAAAAGGAAAACTTAGTGGAGCTGATAAGGGATACTGTTTAGCCATCTATAAAAACAAATCTCTGCCAAGTGGTTCCTAAGCCAAGAGCTTCAACACCTCTGGTTCTTTAGCTTTAGCTCTGCAGAAGTGAATGACCGTCTGTCCCATCATGAAAATAAAAAGCGATGCTACTTGTTAACGTTGTAATGTCAATCAGAACCTCTGGGGTAATAGTTGAATAATGGTCTTTTTCAAAGTAAGAATAGAATTTCTCTTCTTTAATGAATAAAGTTAGAATTTCTGCTTAACCCCAAAAGAGATCAAGTAATTAATATGATTTTTCAGGTTCCAAAGATAAGAACCTTAACTATAATCCTAAATTTTCTAAGTTTCTCTTAGTTGGCTAAATGCAGTAGTAAATAAATATGACTGACAACTTTTTTCTCCTGACCTGATATATCAGGATGGCAAGAGTATCTCAATCTGAGCAAGAAAAATTTCATAGGCTCTTTAAGAATAGGGTTAGTAGGGCCAGCCCCGTGGCTCACTCGGGAGAGTGCGGCGCTGGGAGCGCAGCGTCGCTCCCGCCGCGGGTTCGGATCCTATATAGGGATGACCGGTGCGCTCACTGGCTGAGCGCGGTGCAGACGACACCAAGCCAAGGGTTGCGATCCCCTTACCGGTCACCAAAAAAAAAAAAAAAAAAAAGAATAGGTTAGTAAACCTTAACTAGGTTTAACAAAATTTGGTAAAAGAGAAATGATGGAAAAAAGTCAAAAGTATTGGCATATTGTATAGCTCTTGCTTTCATTTTATTTTCCTGTTAATTATACCCAATAGACAATTAAAACATACACCTGTTTTCTAAGGACCAGACTTCCTTTAATAAGTCCATGTGGATTGTTAGCATCAAATTCCATCTGTGTTGAATTCTTTTGTCATATTACTAAGGGAAGGTATCCATGTTTCTGAGCAATAGTATCTTTTCTCTCTCATTTTGAAGGTTAAGGAGCCAATATTCTTTCTCCCAGCGCTTTCTGAGATTCATTTATCAAAGGTAGCTTGTAGGTAGTCTCAGAGTATGTGAAACACTATAAATGAGCTCCCTAAGTCACTCTCAGAGTAGTGAGCCATTGATCCATGCTAGCAATCTCTAGGGATTACCTTTTCGGTTTGCTATTTCCCTTCCAGTAACACAGAAGTAAAAATTAAAAATCTGTTCTGCTCCTTTAGAATGCATGGAAGGGAAAATCAAACATTCCTTTATTTCATCATAAGAAAGGTGCCTGTCTCTGAAGTTGGGTATTTTCACTAAAGAGTGGTCTTCCTGGAGTCTTTTCCCCTCACATAATGCTGAACCAACACGTCCTTATCTAAACTTTCTGAAAATCAACAGCATGTCAGAGTTGGAAGGGACTTTAAATGATCTGAACTTCTTATACCACACTTAAGTGCCTGATGTACAATACAGCCACCAGATGATTATTCAGTAGTAAATCTATTTAAAAGTAATATCATAAAATAAAGAAAACAACCCAAATCCTCCAACTTGTGATTCCAGAATTCTTTGCACAGGTACTAATACCCACATTATTAAGAATTATTACTTGCCAAATATTACAATAGAAAATAGAATTACTTTCTCGAACTAGGTCTCTAGGGTTTATCTGTTAATCTTTGCAGTGCTGTAGATTCTTTCTACTCCAAGGACTTATGTGAACATTGAACATTCACTGAATATGAAAGACTAGACTCTGATCTTAAAAACAATCCTGATTTTTTTTTTTTTGGCAGCTGGCCAGTACGGGAATCTGAACCCTTAAAAAATAGTCCTGATTTTTTAAACCTTTGATTCATTAAATAATCAACATTCAACCTATCTAGAAACATCATTTATCATCAGTACAAGAATTCAAAAGCAAATAAACTGGAGTTTGTATTTAAAAAGGAAAATCATGGTGTCCACTGGAAAAAGTAGAAAAGACTCAAAGGGCAACACTTAGCTACTACTGAGGATATACTAGAAACTTTTACATATAAGCTATAATTCAGCAGCTTTTAAAATTTCATGTTTATTCATATTTTTCAAAATATATGTACATAAAAAAGGAAGATTTACAACAGGAAAGATTGCCTTACATGCAACACAAATTCCAATGAACTCATGATGGGATCACACGATTATGACCTAATTCAAGCCAATCTTCTTAAGTCCATTTCCCAGCCGTGCTTCAGGCTAAGGAAGGGATCCCAGGAGACAATGCAAGTGGAATGAATATGAAACAAACATCTTTTGCCTCTGGCAGCACTCAAGGGGCCAGAAGATTACACCAAAAAGTTTAAGACAAGTAAAATGTCAAGTGCCACAGGGAAGATAAATGGTAACCGGAAGTCGGTATTTCTCAAGTAGAAAGCTATTACTATTTAACACAACTTCACAATACTGAAACAAATACAAATAAGAAAGGGTTAGGTAGTTGGGCTTCATTTGCTTTTTTTTCTGTTTTTTTTTTTAATATCTCAAAAAGGAAGCCACTTGCTTGATATCAAAAGTGCTGTGGAAAGAAAGGAGGGGGAAAAAACCCACAGATGAATTTGGAATCTAGTTTATTTTAGCAAATTGTATGTTTTTTCACTTAACATTTCTACATTAGCAACAATGTAACTCTCCAACATTTCCTTATAAAAAAGGCAAACAGGAAATAACAACTCATGCTCCAAATATTAAAAAATATATTTAAACATTTGATCAAGAAGATTTTATGTTCTCATTTTTGGTAACACAGGCAACACCAGAAATCACAGATTTAATATATTCCTATACTTCCCTTTCGGTCAAAAACCAAGTGGTGTAAAGAACTTGTGCTTACTGTTAAGGGAATGCAATGCTCTAGGCCAGTGAAAAATACCTGTAAATTGATCAATGTGAAAAGTGGCCCAAAGGAGCTGTGCATCTTCAGAATCTAATGAGATCATACTGGTTTTGGTTAATTCCCAAAGCTAAAATGTCTCTGTGTTTATAGTTGGAGAGAAAGGGTTAGTAGAATGGTTTTTATAAATAAGATGAACTATTATAGCTATAACTGAAATCTCCAGGCAGGAGGATTTACAATTCAGTCAGTGCTATACTGCCTCCTTTTTACTTCTAGCACCTGACCAGCATCCTGCTCTTGATGCTTTCTACCAATATAAAATTTTTCCAACTGTTTAGATAAAACTGGAAGGGGGAAAAAAAAAAAAGCCAAAGCTGACCATAAAAAAAAGAACGGTGTTCACGGTAGAGGGAGCAAAGAAGACAAGTATAGATTACATAGTTTAGGAAAGTCAAGGATTATTGCAGAAATTAAAATGACTGAGGGAAGGGGCAGGCACCAAGAACAGCACCTAAAGCTAACAAATGCCTAAACTGGTTTATTTATATTCTCTCCCCACAATGTTCATACGGGAGAAAAACAATGTAGTTTTAAAAGCATCAAACTAAAATGCACACTGACCTTAGAAAATAAGATTTTGAATTTCATCATGATACCCTTTTTTTCCTATAAAATTTACTTTTTTGCTTTGAAAGACTTCTTCATGGTGGATTTGCCCTTGCCAGGCAGTTTTACTTCTTTTCTCGCACTGGTTGCAGGCTTCTTTGAAGAACTACCACTAGGCTTCTTAATGACTGAGGGTGAGGGTCTGGCTTTCTTGGCAGGAGTTTTGGCCTTAGGAGGGGCTTTCTTGGGCAGGGGCCTAGCTTTCCCCCGCTGGGAAGCTGGGACTTTAGGTGCAGGCTTGGACCCTCTCTGTTTCAGGGATGCAGCTTTCCCTGGGGACTTGGCTGGGGTTTTCTTCTGCAACCTGTGAGAACCAAAAAGCAAAGGCAAACACTTAGTACACCAGAGATTCACTTTGCCAGGACAACCAGATGCTTCGCCAAAAAATTAAATAGCATATGTAGAAGTCACCTATATTAAGAATGGGAATGTGACTTAATTATTTACTAGAGGCTTTACTAAAATTGTATAAAAATCCAACTACTTCATGGATGTCTACATGTAATACCATGACTTTTTTCCTAGGAAAATATGAAATTAATTTTCGTTAAATAACTAAACTATGGCTATATATAGGTTTGACTAAAGAGTAAATTACACAGTCACAGTGCTTCCTAAGTTCAGAGCCCCTGAATTTTTAAGGGAGAAGATAAATTCAAATGTTACACAAAGAACATGAGAAGGGTCCTAAGTTGTTAAAATACTTTCCTATTTTCAGCCCTCCTATTAGTACCATTTTCACCTTTAAGACTATTATCTCCCCCACAAGGAGGGTTTTTCACACATTCACACCTTCTCTTAGGGGGTGGCTCTTCGTCCTCAGAGTCTTCTTCTGATGACTCGTCTTCGTCTTCATCGTCCTCCTTGTCTTTAGAATCATCTGGCTCTTTCTTTGGAAACAGAACTCCTGGGCTATGAAAGAAAAAGAAAAAAAGATTAGATAAAAGAGAAGTCCCACATAGGACAAGGAAAATCTTATGAACCTGGGTGCTCTTCCCTGGATATTTCCACTTCTTCCTACTCTCCCCTCAAAATGCCAAATTAAGTTACAAGTATCAGGTTATAATTTAACCTATTTTGAATACACATACAAAGTTATGACAAATCTGTAAAAGTCACAGACCAACCTCATTCCCTTCCTCCCATCATTTAATAAAATTGATCCTTAATAATTTATTTAGTAAACAATTAAACTCCTGATGTGTCTGGTTCTGTATTAGCCACTGATTACACTGCAGTGAACAGTATGCATAGCAGTCTACATTTTAGTCTACACTTTTTGCCCTCATTATACTGGCAAATGACCTCAAAGTCATACAAAAAAAAGATAGACCCCAAAATCTCTTCAAAGTTTTAAAGAAATTCAGTAAGGATCCCCTAACTCTTGTTTGCCCTTAATGGTAGAAATCTTGATTCCTTTGATTAACACATCCTTAAATTATAACATGTTTTATTTTACTTTTTTTGACAGCCAGTTGGCACGGGGAAAAGTTATAACATTTTATGTGTATTAAACTTTAATAATTAAATTTAATGTTTAATGTTTGAAAAATTCCAATAATATGCATTCAATGAAGTAACATTTACATTTGTACACAAAGAATAATATTAGAAAGTTACACTGTAGTCTTGCTAGAATAAGGTCTTGGTGGTCAATATCACAGCACTTTATTAGTAATGAAAATATAAGAAGGCTACCGCACCAGTGCACAAAACAATGCTTGGCTCATAGGAGGTGCTCAATACATTTTTTGTTTCAATGAATAAATTCGGTATGTACAAGAAACGGGTTTTCTAATAAACGTCTCTGTCTCTACAGTATGAAGAAGGCAGAGTTAGGATTCTTAGAAGCAGTCAATGTTCTCCTCACTTGGTACTGGACAATTAAAACATGTATATAATACTCTAATAATCTTCCCATTATTATCGTTTACTTGATAAAGAAAGAATGAACATCAAATGATTGTCCAATGACCTCAAATAATCTGATGCCTGAATTCAGAAACAGTTGATTAACAACAAGCTTTAGCAGGACAGATAAAACTCCTCTGTTCTTATATGAAAACTTTTTGCTCAAAAATGATCCTGCCTTAAGTAGTCTTTATTTTCAAATATTTCCACTTCAGTGCAATAGTAATAAGGTAAAATAAGTTAAACCAAACCTGTAACCTAGAATCTGATTTTATATTTATATTGACCAGCATTTTACATTATGGGGTAGGTGCGTACCTGGGGTAATAGGGAAAACAGAGCTGAAAAGTGCCACTGAATCCTTTACCAGAAATCTGTTCCATCCACCCATTCTTTTCACATTTCTGTAAGGTTTTCTTCAGCAAATGCACTGAACAAAAAATTCAAAAATGAAGCAAGTTATCTAGTTGTTCGGATTTGGGAATTCTCTTAACCACAATTAGATGCCCTTCAATGTCCTGTCACACACAGTAATTGACAAATGCTAAGTCAATCTTTTGTGGTCAAAGGTATTAATTCACTAAACATTTATTTAATGCTCATAGATTTGGCAAGAGTTAAATCATAATGAAAATACACATTACAAATTGTTGAGTCAAATTCCTCATTTCACAGAAAAGGAAGCAGGAACCTAGAGTGGTTAAAATGACTTGGGCCCAGAGTGGTTAAGTGATTTGAGCTAAGGCAGCACATAACAGCAGACCTAAAATGAAATATTTGTATCCATTCTTTCAAATATCTATTATGTACCTATAGGTATTGAAAATTATCTAGAAGAATATTAATGAAGATTAACAGAACCAATTCCTCATAAATTAGTAAACAACAACAAAACAAGTGAAGGCCACCCCATCTTTCACACACAGAAATATCAAAAATGTATTTAATGGTGATTCAGTGTCAAAAAAACAGCTGCAAAATCAGTGAAACTGAAAAGGTTAATAACTAAAATCATCTTCTCTTAAAACACTCAGCCAACAGAGAAAATCATAAAATAGTCTATATATTGTAAGTACAAAAGGGAAAGATAAAATACCAATTTTCAAAGTAGATAAGAAAACAATCAAACTATTCCTTCATAATGTTAAAAATACATATTGCATATATGTTAAAAGTCAATATTCAGACTTCAAAATTACCCATTTATTTAAAATAATATATTCTAGTTTGCATTTTTTGTTAGTTACTTAATTTCCATATTCCTCACTCTATATCGTGTCTGTTCCAGTGGTTCATTGAGAGGTTATCCAATCTCACTAATCCATAAGTGATAATGCTGCTAAGGCATGGTGTCTAATCTTAAATCACCATCTCCTAGGGTAAATATACTTTACTGAAACAACGTATTTTCTGTTATAGAGATTAAGTCAAGAAATAATCTAAGCAGTAAGTATTCTAAAACCCTTGCTTGGTTTCAAGGTGAATCTAGACGTTTTGGTAAACATTCAGAAGTAGGTAAAAATATACTATAATTGAAAGCTGTTGGGCTGGCCCAGTGGCGCACTCGGTAGAGTGCGGCGGCACTCCCACTGAGGGTTTGGATCCCATATAGAGACCGGTCCACTCACTGGTTGAGCGCGGTGCGGGCGCGACACGGAGGGTTGCGATCCCGTTGCCGGCCACGAAAAAAGACAAAAAGAAAAAAAAAAAAAAAAAAAGAAAGGTGTTTTGAACCTAGAGATTTATCTAAATTACAATGAAAGTATCAGAAAAATCTTTACAGCAAAGTAAAATCAACTTCTGATCAGCATATACTGTAAATTTTTTTCTTTTTGTAAATGATCAATTTCTTGGTTTTTCACAGTGAGAAGCTAGTGCATTAGCAGTATGATCTCTGCTGTTTTTTCCCGAAGAAAATTCCCTTAATCCCATTTAAATGCACACATCTCTGAGTCTTACTTTGATAGTTAGAATTGGTCCCTGGGTGGTTCTCCAGGACATACTTCTTCAGAGCAGTGGTGGAGCAGGTCTTCGGTTCATTCATGGCAGCAATGGCAGACAAGATTGCATATTCCATCAGGCTTCCACCAAGCAGGGGTTTCTCCCCTGATTTCTTCAGCTGTTTTCCAAGGAGGAAGAGAAAAGCATCAAGACAACACTCTCCCAAAGCAGGTCAAGACAAGACTCCTCTGCACCAGGTGGGTCGGAGTTCCTGCATTAGCACAGATATGTTTTACAATAAATTGTCAGGTTAGGGACTTTCTCTTCCCATCCACCAGGTACTCAATCTAACTGAGGAGTCCCAACCCTTGTGTGATATATTCTCTTTCCAACTATCCTCCATCCACCCTAAAAAGCAAGAGCCAACCTAACCCAAAGACACCGACGGCTCCACCCCAAAAAGCAGGGCTAACTTGTTAGGCCCCCAATAAATTAAGACTCTTTCGAGAATACTTCCTTTTTCTGAACCTGAAAAATGAAGTAGTTACAAAAACAATAATGTCTTTTTAATCCTATAAGAAAAACAGCAAAGAAAAATTTTGGTAAAAATTTAGGGTATCATACAACAGATAATTACATAGTATATTTCAAAGATGAAAGGATGGGGAACAAAGGTTAGCACCAATAAGCACAGAGGAAAATAAGGAAATTAAGCATGTTCTATAACAATGATTCCCAAAGAGTGGCCCACAAAACCCTGGGGGTTCCTAAGACCCTTTTTCAAGGGATCTGCAAGGTCAAAACTATTTCATAATAAAAATAAGATGTGATTTGCCTTTTTCACTGTGCTGACATTTGCACTGATGGTGCAAAAGAAATAGTGGTAAAGTCACTGCCACTTTATCACAGATCAAGGCAAAGGCATAAAAATGTACCAGTAGTTATCTTCCTCACTGCTACGCACTTATGGTTTAAAAAAAAAAAAAAAAAAAAAAAAAAAAACACCTTGCCAGTTTCACTTAGGAATGCTGTTGATAAAGGAGTAAAAATTATTTTATATTAAATGTCAACCCTGAGTGTTTGTCTTTTTAATATTTTATGGGACAAAACAGAAAGAATGCATTAGGTATATCTGCTACATATGGAGGTATCGTGGTCTTAAGGAAAAGCACCTGAGTGAGTTATGAGCTGAACTAGTTGTATTTTTCATGGAATACCCTTTTTACTTGAAGGAACAAGTGACAGATAAACTATGGTTATTCAGACTTGGGTATGGGGTAGACATTATATTGAAAATGAAGTAAGTAAGCCTGTTGTCACTTTAAGAAAAACAACAGTATTCACTGCCAATGATAAAATTCAACCTTTCAGGAGAAAATGCAAATTGTAGAAAACTTGTATCTATTGCTGTGAGCTTGGTATCTTCCCAATAATTAAAAATACTGTTCTTATGAGACCAATGGCTGATACTAATGATTGTAATTTTTGTTACTCTCTGATGAAATGTCAACATTTGGAGAATTTGCATAACTCAACAAGCCACTATTTTCCAAAAGACCAATGCATTATGTTACAAAATTATGCATGGTTAAAAGAACTACTCAGAGTTCAAGATAAACCAATGAATTTTAACGTTAACAGAGTACAATAAGTTCCCTAATATGGTTTCAGGTTCCACGTGGCAACTAACCTTTAAGAAATTACCACAAAAATCAGTATAACAGACTGTATCAACAGAATAAAGAACACAAACCACATAGTCATCTCAATAGACACAGAAAAGCATTTGACAAATCCAATAACCACTCATGATAAAAACTCCCAACAAACTAGTAACAGAAGAGAACTTTTTCAACCTGATCACAAACCTCTATGAAAAACCTACAGCTGACTTAATCGTGAAAGACTAAATGCTTTTCTCTCTAAGATGGGGAATAAGACAAGGATGTCTGCTCTCACCATTTCTACTTAACACTGTACTGCAGGTTCTATCCAGAGCAATAAGGCAAGAAAAAGAAGTAAAAGACGTCCAGATTGGCAAGGAAGATATAAAATAGTCTTTACTTGCAGATAACGTAATCCTGTATGTAGACAATATTAAGGAATCCACAAAAAAAACCTACCAGAATAAATGAGTTCAGTAAGGTTGCAGGATACAACATTAATAGACAAATCAATAATACTTCTATAGAACAGCATGAACAATCTAAAAATGAAAATAAGAAAACACCTTCATTCACTCTAGCATGGAAAAAGAATACAATACTTAGGAATAAATTTAACAAAAGAAATCAGGCCTGTACACTGAAAACCACAAAACACTGATTAGAGAAATTAAATGAAGAGACAACAACACTGGAAAGATACCAATTCTCCCCAAATTGATCTATAAGAGTTCAATCAAAGTCCTACCAAAATCCCATCTGGTGTTGGTTGTTTTTAAATTTTTTTTGGCAGAAATTGACAAGTAGATCCTAATTTGGTTTTTTTTTTTTTTGGTGGTTGGCTAGTACAGGGATCTGAACCCCTGACCTTGGTGTTGTAACACCATGCTCTTACCAACTGAGCAAACCGGCTAGTCCAGGATCCTAAAATTTGTACAGAAATGCACAGGACCCAGAATACTCAAAACATTCTTGATTGTTCGAGGTCTTATAATTCCAAATTCCAAAACTCACTCTAAATCTACAGTCATCAGAAGACACTGGCACTAAGGATTCACATATAGACCAATGGAACAGAACTGGGAGTACAGAAACAAACTCTATACTTATGGTCAATTAATTTTTGATAAGGTAGCAAGGCAATTCATTAAGGAAAAAAATAGTCTTTTCAATAAATGGTACTGGGACAACTGAATATCCACATGCAAAAAGATGAATTAAACCCTTACCTCATACTATAAACAAAATTCAATAGACATAAATATAAGAGCCCAAACTATAAAACTCATAAAAGAAACTGTAAAATCCTTAAAAACAAATGGCCATTAAGCACATGAAGATGTTCAACATCAGTAGGGTAGTCATCAAGGAAATGCCAATCCAAACCACAGTGAGATACCCACTTCATATCGACTAGTATGGCTTTGGGATACAAAGTAAAAAGAGAACAACAAATGTTAGTGAAGATATAGAGAAACTGAAACCCTTACAGGATGGTACTTCAAAAAGTTCATGAAAAGATTCATACTATATTTCAATTCTTATTTTTCCACAAACTTTCAAAAAGTACTTCCATACATTGTTGGTTGGAATATAAAATGGTGCAGCCACACAGCCAATTTCTTAAAACATATTTATCATAGAGCCCAGCAAGTCCACTCCTAGTCATATACCCAAGTGAAATAAAAACACATATTCACACTAAGTTGGACATTAACTGTTCATAAGGAAGCATTATTCATAATTAGTTAAAAAGTGGAAATAACCCAAATGTCCATCAACTAATGAATGGATAAACAAAATGTGATATATCTATACAACGGAATACCATTTGGCAATAAAAGAGAAAGAAAGTACTGATACATGCTGCAACATGGATAAAACTCAAAAAATCATTATGCTAAGTGAAAAGAGCCAGACACAAAAGACCACATATTGTACGATTCCACCTATATGAAATGTGAAGAAAAGGCAAATCTATATAGAGAAAGTAGACTAGTAGCCTGCCTGAGGCTGGATGGAGGTGGAAATGGGTAGAACTGCAAATGGAATGAAAAGGTACTAAAACTGGATTGTGGTGACAGATGTACGACTCTGTAATTTTACTAAAAACAGATGAATTATAAATTGTAACATAAAACAAGTGTATCTTATGGTATGTAAATCATGCCTCAATAAACCTGTTAAAAACAAACTACCATTTGTTGAATTTTATTTAGTGTGGTATCAAAGAATATGTCCGCAACAATCTGAAAGTTACCTTAAAGTATTTCACCCTTTTCTAACTATATTCCCGTGTAAGGCTGTATTATGTCTTTATAGACATACGCCGAAACACGTTGGAACAGATACCAGCTGTATTCTATGAAATTAAACATTTATAGACATTTGCAAAAATGTAAACAGTGCCCTTCTTCTCATTAAAATACATTTTTTTTGGGGGGGGGGGGAATACAGTTGTTTTTCATTAAAAAATGTGTTATTTATGTTAACATGTTTACTACTGTTATTTTTTAAAGAATTAATAAATATTTTTAAATTTCCTCAGTTTTAATGTCTAATACAGTAAATATGGGTATAATCCATATAAACAAAAGCTCTTTGGTGGTCCTCAATAAATTTTAGAGTGTAAAGAGGTCCTTAAACCAAAAACTTTGAGAACCACTTCTCTACAACCAAGCCTTTGGCCTCTAACCTGGAATGTCCCCGAAGCACCTTTGCCAGTTATCTGTTCTAACTGGCCTCTTTCTACTGCTCTCTGCAGAGCATTCTTCAACAGCTGAGGCCTGCAGAGAAAAACAAAAAATAGTAATAAACATCAATAAAAGAAAAATTTAAAGAAACAGATCCAGGGTTATTCCCAGATCTAAAGGTCTGATTCCTATTATATGTAGTATTTCATTAAAATGGACAAAAAAGTAATAAATTTCTGGCATCCTTAACAAGTGGCGTTCTTTTTTTTCAAGCAAAGAAGCTAAGTCATTACCTGTCCATACAGAAAAATGTACCATACAAAACTAATCTGCAAATTGCCAGGGCACTTCCCAAACCCATCATTTATTACCATCAAACCACAACAGTAACCAAACCAAATTAACAAGCAAAGGATGGATATCTTTAAAGTCTCATCCAACTCTGAAATTCTCTGAGGCAAAATCTAAACATCAATCTGTTAGAAATGCAGAGATGAAATTAAGATCAAGAAACTTGAAATTACTTAAAAATGTTGAAACTATTAAGAATTTAAGAGGTCTCCAAAGAAATTAATATGTTTAGGGAAAAGTATAGGGCATAAAACTGAACCTTGGGCTATGTTCACTTCTTGGTATGACTAGAAAGAGAAAAAAAAAAAGTTACCAGTTACATCTTATACAAGGATTAGATTTTAAACTGATTTCTAATGCCATATGACAGAATTACGTTCAGATTTTGTGTTTGTGTGTGTGTGTGTGTGTGTCCGGATGGTACCCTCAAAAATGTTGAAAGACCTTCTTAGAGGCCAACCCAAAGTTTCTATGTAAACCTGTATGCCCAGTTTTTCCTCTAGATCCGCAAAAAAAAAATTACTGCTATAAAATTATGGAGGTGACACACATGCTATATATAAAAAAGTCTTCAGTGCTCGCTTCAGCAGCACATATACTAAAATTGGAACGATACAGAGAAGATTAGCGTGGCCCCTGCGCAAGGATGACACGCAAATTCGTGAAGCGTTCCATATTTTTCCACATTGTATATCGACAAAATAAAATTAATAAAATAAAATAAAAGTGAAAAAAAAAAAGTCTTCAAACATTATTAGCATCATAGTTTCAGCATGGTGTGGTGTTCATACCACAAAAGGTATATTGAAACTGAGACTAATAACATTAGCATGAGTTGAGCGCTTATTAGATGCCAGACACTGTTCTAAGTGCTTAACATGAACTAAGAGATTTAAGCTCCGTGGGTTATACACTGATTTTCAACAAGGAAACTGAGACACAGAGAGTTAACTTATTCAAAGATACAAAGCTAGAAAATGATAGAACTAGGATTTAAACCTAAGGGGTGTGGTTCCAAAGCCTGTGTGCTTAGCCACAATGCTCTAGTAAATGGGAGAAGGAATTCGTGTCTCAACCCACATGAGGCATATGCTCCTTGAGTGAAAAGGTCAAGAGAACTGCCCATGTGTCATTCATTCATTCATTCAACTCATATTTATTGAATATCTACTGTGAGCTAGGCTCTAGGGAAACAGCAGTGAACAATATCGACAAAAAATAATGGCCTTCAAGAGTTTGACATTCTAATGGGGTGGAAAGGCAATAAAAAAAAAAAAAAAGCAAAAAATTATGTAGTATGTTAGAACATGATGAGTGCTATGGAGAAAAACAAGGGAAAGAAGTGGGATTCAGAATGCTTGGAGAAGGGAGAAAGGTTTTCGTTGGTCATACTGACTAAATGCAATGTGTGGGCCACGTTACTATATTGACTCGAAAAAAACAACTGTTAAAAAGTCATTTTGGAGACATCTGGGAATATTTGAACATGGACTGAGTTAGATAATGTTAAAGAATTATTAACGTTGTTAGAAACTATGTTAGTACAGGTTAAGCATCCCTAATCCAAAAAATGCAAAATGCTCTAAAATCTGAAACTCTTTGAGCATTGACATGATATTCAAAGGAAATGTTCATTGAAGCATTTTGGATTTCCAGATTAGGGATGCTCAACTGGTATGCATTCTGCAAATATTCCAAAACCAAAAAAAAAATCTGAAATCCAAAACACTTCTGGTCCCAAGCATTTTGGATATGGAATAATTAACCTGTGAGATGGTTATGTTCTTTTTTCCAAAATAAAACAAATAAAAGGTAATAAAGACTCCTTCCACCACATGAGGATATAATGAGAAGGTGGCACTCTACAATCTGGAAGAGAGTCCACAGAGAACCCAATCATGCTGGCACCCTGACGTCAGACTTCCAGTCTCTAGAACTGTTAGAAATAAATTTCTGTTGCCTGTAAGTCAAAATAATAATGACAATAATAATAATAATAATAATAATGATGATGATAAAGCAGTCAAGGCAGGCCTATGGTGATGACATTAGAGTAAAAACTTGAAGAAAGTAAAGGAATCAGCAAAGTGGATTCCGGGGAAAAACCATTCAGGCAAAGGGGATAGGAAATATAAAGAGTATGAGGCAGATGAGGGAGGGAAGAGTAGTAAATTAGGTCAGAGATGCAACAGAAGTATAGTGCCATGTAAATCATTTTAAAGACTCTGGCTTTAACTGTGAGGCAGATGGGAAGCCACTGGAGGGTTTGAGTAGAAAGGTGATATTATCTTACATTGTTAACTGTAATGTTAAGAACATACTGAAGGGGAACATGAAAAAAGCAATTAGGAAGTTACTGCTCTAATTCAGGTGAGAGATGATGGTGGCCTGGAAGAGAGTGGTAATAGTGGAGATAATGAGAAGTAGCCTGTTTACTGATGTATTTTAAAGACAAAGTAATTGCTTAGAGATCAGATGCAGGTGGGTGATAAAGAGAAGAGACCAGTACAAAGCCAGGGTTTTTGGCTCCAGCAACCGGAAAGATGTTATCATTAACTGAGGTGGAGATGATATGGGAGGTACAGGGCTTTTTTGGGGGTGGGTGGATCAAAAGATCAGTTCTGAACATTTAAGTTAGATATGTAAGTGGTGATGTCAAGTAGGTATCTATAAAAATGAATCGAGTTAGGAGGGAGGTATGGGCTAGATTCATAAATTTGTAAATTAATAGTGTATAAGTGCTATTTAAAGCCTTGTAAATGGAAGAAATTACCAAGTGTGGACAAAAAAGACAAAAGCCATCAGGTATAACCCTGGGGGCATTCTTACATTAAGCGACAAACCAGAAACCCTTAGATTGAGAAAGGAAGTATATAGTAAGGCTGGAGTAAAATCAGGAGAGTGGAAGGAAAGTCAATAAAATGTTTCAAGCACATAGGAATCAACAAGTGTGTCAAATGCTGGTGAGCTAAGGACTATGAACAGTGAGACTTGTAATGCGGTCACTGGTGAAGCTGACAGGAAGATAAAGCAGTAGGGATAAAGTATGACTAACAATAGGTTTAAGAGAGAGTAGAGGGCTGGCTGGTTAGCTCAGATGATTAGAGCACAGCCTTGTAACACCAAGATCATGGCAAATCACCAAAAAGAGAGTGGGAGGTAAGATATTACAGACAGCAAGTATTTACAACTAATACTTCAAAAAAGTATTTTTCTCACTCTTTTGTTTTGCCAAGCAAGAATGGCTAAATTTTCATGTTAAATGTGTATACGACAAGACTCCACTATAATCAGAAATAGAGAAAATCAATAGTTTCACATAAGTAAAGAAAAAAAGTTTCAAAGGAAAAAATTACCATTAAAAAAAAAAAGATCATGGGAAAAGGTCTTCAGGTTCATTAGCATTTTTGGGTCAACAACTCATCTATTACTATCAGGCAAATATTGTTTCAACATCAGATGGTGACAGAAAATGTTTCAAAAGACTAGACATGGAGCAAAGTTACACCAGTAACACCACATTATCTTAAAGAGTAGAACCATAAGGAAAGAAAAAAATGGGGAAGGATAGTCTCCAGTCATCAAAAAGTAGAGAATAAAGGCAGATAAAAATGAACATGTTTCCATTTTTAAATACACCAAACAGTGCATTTCTTATCCAGTTTTCTCTGCATACTACTACCATACTCAGAACATAAGAAGCATAACAGCATCAGGATATTAATTTCAAATTTCCTACTTCTGTGATTCTCTTTTCTTTTGCACTATTTTATTAGACACTTTGAAGACCACCAAGTGATTTTCTGAAAATGGGGCTTCTGAAACCTCAGCAATTCTAATTGTATGCCTCAGTAATGCCAAGTAAATACCAGTACTAAACTATCAGGACAAAGTGCATTCAATTTAGTAATCCTCCATGGAAAGAACTCTAGGTTAAATACAATTTTCCAAAAGGCATCACAACAAAGATCTCATAAAAACACATTCAAAACTCAAAATGTGATTCTGTGAATCACAAATTTAAACAAATTAATGTCTCCATGAATCCACAACTGAGCAAATGTGACAATCTAAATGATCAGTCCAGATGCTAAGTGGCAATTTTAACAAATGAGTTACTATCAAAATTATTTCAGGATTTTACATTACATGTTTAAATGATGAAGATATTATGCTATTTCTGCGTAGACGTTAAGTATTATTGAAGCCTGAATTCTCTTATGTTCTCAGTTATAACTCTAAAAAATGAGTATTTAAGAGGACAGAGAGTTCAGTATTAAATATTCTAACAGCTGACAATATAAAAAAAGTTACTTTGTCAGGATCTTATAAAAGAATGTGTGGTTTGGGTTTCAAAAAGAAAATGACATATGGAGATATGAAAAGAAAAACTAATTGGGCCAAAAAATACAACCCACAATAAAAGATTTTATTTCTAGCTTAGGTAAAAGTAATCCTTCTTGGATAAGTTATCTCCTTTCTCATGAAAAAGGGGCTAAGGGAATAACATGCCATGTTTTAAGATCCAGGCCAATGCCTCATACCTGATGTCCACTCTAAGCTTAGGATAGTATTGAGACACATATTTCCTGATGAGACTATAGGAAGCTTCTTTAGGTTCACAAAGGCGAGTGAAGGCCAGTGGGAGGACATCCTCCAATTTTACTTGTGGTTCTGGATCCACTGCAGAGCTCCTCTTCTGAAATATAATATCAAAAATTACAATCATTACAGAATATAGAGCTTTCTGTTCAAATGCTTCTACATAACAATTCAAGGGCTTTCCCCAGCTGACTGCCAAACCATCTAGCAAAAGGAAAAGTATCGCTTTTTTTCCACATTCAAATAAATCATAACACAGTGGCATAATGTCACTTGTGTGGCAATTTCTTTCAGATAAAAATTTCAGATTGAGTTAAAAATACATATAAAAGTCAAAAGGAATGGTATACTTTGTTTAAAGGTCTAATATTCATGATTTCAATTGCTGACATAGATGAAATACTAGATATCTTACCTTATTATTGCAGAAATACTTTACGTAAATGAAATTATTCATTTGCAGGGGAGTGTTAGTATTTTTTAAAAAGAGAGAAGAAAAATTGGCTCTTGGCATAGTTTTTGGGTCTAGTACTAGGTAAAAATGTACTTGTACACCTCCTCTAGTTTAAAGATATTTCAGAAAAAGAATTATTCATACAGCTACCCATAAATAAGGCAGTTAAGACCACAGGCTTAACTGGAGTGCTTGGGACTTGCACCTTAGCTATTCTATTCATTAGCTGGACAAAAAATTTCTTAAAACAAATTACTTATAACTCTGGGCCTTAATAGAAAGGCAGCACTTTTCAAAGTGTCAGGTACAGAGTACACACTCAAGAAATGTTACAGTGCTTAATGAAACTGTGGTATAGACTTCTTACCTTTCTGTTTCTGGATTTCTGAGGTGTTTTTGTTGATTTCTGGACCACAACAAAACTTCCAGAAGCACCTTTTCCTTTTACCTAAAATAAATTTTTATTTTAAATCATTCTAGTATTCATATCTATAACTTTGTACTAGACTAAGGGAATTACAGGACATGGTGATGTAAGAGCTAATGTAAAGTGCTGTTTAACTCTTCAGAGAAAAAAACAACAATGGATGAGAAGTCAAAAGACTTGAGATATAATCCTATTTATGATACAATCTAGCCATTCAATATTGGACAACCCAGTTAACCTTCTGAGCTTTTGTTTCCTCACTGACAAAACTGAGGAAGAATGTTATTGTGATACCAGGTTAAATAGTTTACTAAAGCTTTAAAAAAAATCAAAAATGTCCCATGAAAGGAAGGGATACAATCTCTTACAGAAAATGAGAAAATTCCTCACTGTCTTGGAAGGAAGAGAGCTCTCTGGCAAAAGTTTAGAGACTAGTTGGTCTCAGGCTAACTAGTGATAATTACAGATTATCACCTCTCACGGGAAAGATTATCTAATAACTTTTTAAAACATTGTACATGATGGTATGTATAAGTCTTACCACATATTTCCATAGTTTACAAAGCACTTTCATAGAACTTTAAAGTTGATTCACAGCAACCAGTCTTCCACACGTCAGCTGTACCTACACTGCTGTCAATGCAGCAATCAAGCTGAAATGCATTTAGCCTATTAAGTGTTGTTTAAGCATCAAACTGAGGGTCAGCCTATGGAGGCAAGAATTAGTCACAAACTAAATTTTCATAAAGAAAAACATGAGCCAGCCCATAAGCTGTGCTGACATGTACTATGTTAAGGATGGGTCTTTGGCTGTAATAAATATACTGGCTAGGTAAGACACCATTTAATCCATGATCACTTTAAACGCCATTTAAATATCAGTTTTACAACATTTTGAGAAAGCTAGACTGTAAGCTCCACACAACAGTAATCTGTTTTATTCACTGATGGAGTCCTAAGCACCTGTGTAGCAACACAGAAGGCACTCAGTATACATTTATGGAATTAAGTATTTGTTGAAAGTTCCTAAGCAGGGCTTAAATGCCTGTGGCACAGAATTCTATAGTAATCAAACTGTGCAGAAAGGTATAGAAAAAAGGCAACAGGACTCTGGGAATGTGGTAAGTTAGGTTCTTAGAACTATTTCTGCCACTACCATGGGAACTTGGTAGTTATTTTATCACTCTAGACCTCTGAAGAGAGTTAGATAAGATAAAATTCATTCTAGCTTTAGATTTTTTTTTTTTTTAAAGATGACCGGTAAGGGGATCGTAACCCTTGACTTGGTGTTGTCAGCACCACACTCACCCAGTGAGCCAACCGGCCATCCCTATATGGGATCCGAACCCGCAGCCTTGGTGTTATCAGCACCGCACTCTCCCAAGTGAGCCACGGGCCAGCCCCTAGCTTTAGATTTTTATGATTCTAAGAAATGCTTCAATGTACTATGCAAGGTAACATGGATTTAATGCCTGAAATCAATATTGGTTCTAGTACTAATCTCAATTCACTCAGGCTTCCCTGACACTAACAGGCTTTAGTAGTTTAGATACTAATCAGTTAAGGTAAACTTACTTACAAAGCTAATTTATAATGGTAACAAATCTAGTCACATAAGTCAGGCTTTAAAGCTAACAAACCTGGGGGCCGACCCATGGCTCACTTAGGAGAGTGTGGTGCTGATAACACCAAGGCCACGGGTTCGGGTTCAGATCCCTATATAGGGATGGCTGGTTAGCTCACTTGGGAGAGCATGGTGCTGACAACACCAAGTCAAGGGTTAAGATCCCCTTACCGGTCATCTTTAAAAAAAAAAAACCTAACAAACCTAAGACGAGTTAATTACCCTCTTTGTATCGCAATAGAAGGATTTCATAACTCTACTTCTCATCTTCAGTGCTACATGATTCCAAGCACAAACAGCCTCTAAAGAAAATCCAATTAGGAGTACTATTTTATTGCTTCTGCTCTCTAGAGGGATATTTAACTGTAAAAGCAACTGGCAACACTGTTTTTGAAACCTACCCTCAGATAATAAAACTAGGTCAAGCTTAAGTATTTCATCATCTCGTAATTTATTTTTTAACAAAAAGCCTTAAAAAGACTAAATTTTACTAAATATGGACTTAATAATAAGCAAATAATCTTATGTCCAACAACTGTGTAATACCTGTTTGATGACTCCTCTATTTAATTCTCTTTTCAGTGCTTGTTTAAGGAGATAGCCCCTTCTCTCCAGCTCCAAAGAAGGATACTTATGGATGATATATTTTCGAATAGCAACCACTGATGCACCACTCTTCTGGAAGCAAGCCTAGAAAACACATTTATCAAACCATACACATATTTTAAATTAGTTTTTTAAAAATTAGACAAAGAACCTGACACATATTTTCAAAATAAATTATTATGGAAGTGAAATTGATAATGAATGATAAACATGGCAGGGAAGAATAAACAGTACTTCAGGTAACTTCAGTTCACAATAGCTGTGGAAAAATACAGAATTACTAAATATTTCTGCAACAATTTTAAATTGTTCAAAACAGCCAAAGAGATCATACAATGAAAGAACAACACTGTGTGCTAATGAAGAACCTCTTTCCATTTTACTTCTATTCTATATTTAGAAGACAGATCTTTAGCATCAAAATGAAGAAAGCAGAACATTTCTATTGCTTATAAGATCACAGATCTGGCCGTTTTAAAGAATGAGTTTTGGCATACCAAGACCAATATTTCTCTGCAGGCTTTGTATGAATCTCAGCAGAGAGAAGCAGCAAAGATCATCTGAACCAATGGCATAAAAATGGGTTTACAGAAGGCAAAATCTTAAGGGTAGTTTTCAGTAACAACGGATGCATTCTATTGGAATTTAAAGTGCCCTCTTCCATTTTCATCCTATTTATCTAGACTCCATTTGACTAATGTCCATGGAAGAATTAAGTATCTCATATGTCACAAAGGTAGCAAATATTTTTCACATGCCTTATAGTTTGAAGCACACAGAAGTAGCATCTGTTATTTATCTAATGGACTAGTCCACCAATTTTGTGTTGCCATTGTCTAAAACTGAACATAGCACTTATTCACTCCCATTGGATAAGGACTTGGTTGAATGTTATATTCTGACAACAACGTAACTCACAGGTAGATGAACCAGAAAAAACTGTACAATACAAAACAAGTTGGGTTAATATGGGTCACCTAATTCAAGTCTTTGAACTATTAACAACCTACTGAAGTTTATTTCCTGACCTTATAAGAAAACACCAAGCAAAGAAAACTAAGCAGAAAAGAACTCTCTAATGCTAAAACAAATATTCCCCTGCTTCACCAAACTGACAATGAGATGGAAGTAGTCATCAGGACTCTGGTTTGATACAGAAAATGGTATCGGTGGTCTGAAATCATGATTTGTTATATTGCATGGAATATACATGACGTATATACATATTATTTGTACGAATACACACAATCATTTCAAACCATTCTTTAGGCCAAATTTATATTGTTTTAAAATTTTATTTCAATATTTTAAACTTTCAGTCCCTTCTCCATCCTTCAAACCCAGGCTGAATGGTCATGAAGTGAAATCCTAGAAGAAAGCCTACACAAGATAAATATCTTACTATGGCAAAGCTATCTAGACCAAGAAAGTTTTCTTAATGAGGTGAGAGCATAAGAAGTCTTGAAGAAGAGAAGAGAGAGGCCTGAAGGCAAACTCTTTTCCAGTTTATGTATCAGTGCTACATTCTCCAATTCTGAGAATGACAACCAGGCTGCTGCTCCTTATGTATACCAACTTTGGTTAAAATAATCTCACACCCCAGTCCTGACTCTAGCAACAGGGTCCCTGAAAATGAGGGATGTGATTTAAGTCCTCTTTATCATCTGATAACATGAAATAAGGCAAAATTAAGTAAGACTTATACAGTAAAGGTACTGTCAGATTAGAAGAAAACCTTAAAAGATTAAAATAATAAAACTGCGGCTGGCGGATTAGTTCAGTTGGCTATAGCGCAGCGTTACAATACCAAGGTCAAGGGTTTGGATCCCTGTACAGGCCAGCCGCCAAAACAAAAAAGAAAACTACATCTGACGATCACATAAGCTAAAGAAACTCAATGGATTATAGCAAAGTCATAAAGCAATGTAAGGGGCCGGCCCTGTGGCACACTCGGGAGAGGGCGGCGCTGGGAGCGCAGCGATGCTCCTACCGCAGGTTCGGATCCTATATAGGAATGGCCGGTTCGCTCACTGGCTGAGCGCGGTGTGGGTGACACCACACCAAGGGTTGCGATCCCCTTACCGGTCATGAAAAAGACAATAAATAAATAAATAAATAAAGCAATGTAAGGAGGATAATTTTTGCAAGCATTTTGGAATGGCTAGAAGATGAAGCAAAGCAGTGGATTTATAAGAGGGTTTCTTAGTTCAGGAGTGAAAGATAACCAATACCAATACTGGACATTCAGCTTTACTAACAGATCTAAATATATTTTAACAAAAATTCTCAATGTTATTGAGTTAGAGTCACAATTAGATGTTATACAGGCAAATACCCTGCTTGTCTCTCTACATTGTATCACTAGCAGAGTTGCCTGACACAGATAAGGTAGTCCTTAAATGTTTGTTGAGTGAATTAACATTTTCAGGCTTCAAATAAAAACTGTAGTACTTAATCAATTAACTGAGTAAAAAATATTCTAAAGTTAAAAATACTTGCCATAGTAAAATATGAATTAAAAAGAAAAACAACCGTGCTCACCAAATGTGATTATGTTAGAAAAACATAAACCTCACAATGGCTTTCTTCTATTTAAATCTCCTTTAGGAAACAGACCAAGTTTTCTGAAGAATGCCACCTTTAAATAAGCAAAAGATGAACAGAGTAATCTAAGATGAACTGCTTGAAATAAAAACTTGCCTTAATGGCCTCAGTAAGAATTGCATCCATCTTGGGACGTGGGGAGGAAGCCATCGGTGTTTGTTTCTGGGCCTTGGCTAGCTGGCTGGCAGAAAGGGTAGCCCAGGAAGGTATTGTTTTTTTCACTTTCTTCTCCTTTTCTTTAGACTGATCTTTTTCACTTTAAAACAAAGAATTGTTATTATTCAAGATAAACTTTCCAGAGAGAAGTATAAAATCAAAAAGACCAGAGGGATAAAAATTAATTTTTCAATTTATTTATACACTAAGGTGATATGTACAATAAGCAAAATTTTACAAAATAAAACATTTTTAAAACTCTGGATGATACTATAAATGAACTAAAAAGATGTTTTCTCTTAAGTACAGGAGAGAGGAGTCACACCAATTAGCACTAGTAAGAAGGCCCAGTACCCAAAAGAAATGAGAATTTAAAATGTATACTAGTAACAACTATAACAGATGGAATTTGATATGGTGGAAAGAACTCAATGTCAACCCACTGACACCCTTAACAGTGCCATGAAAGCAGCCATGACTTAGGACATGGCATACACGTTCCATGAGTCATACTCTTAATTTTCTCTAACTTCTGCTTGTGCATTGTCAGATTCCTTGTGGGTGAGATGAGTTTTAGCTCCAACACTTATTAACTACATGATTTTGGTAAGTGATATGAGTCTCAGTCTCCTCAGTTGTAAAATACTAACGTAGTACTAACTCCTTCACAAGGTGGTGCAAGACTTATGATATTATGTTTATCAAAACAATTTTGAGAGCCATAAAGCATTATATAAATTTTACTCTCAGTAATAATAATGGCACTCTATGCCCCTAACACATGCACTAGAACATTTAAAAATACAGAATAGCTGCTAAAAATTCCACAGATCTAACTTATAGCTATGAAACTGGGATAAAGGATTCACTAAGGATAACACCTAGAAGGTATAGTTATTATTAAGTTATTTTTTTTTATTTCAAAAGAAATTTCTAACTGTTCTGACCAATTATGAAGAGTTGGATGAATGCTACCAGCTCTCCTGCAAAAAAAAATTTTTAATTAAAAAAGAATTGCCATCACTTGAACAGATACAGATCATCAAAAGAAAGTTTTGCTTTCAGATTCTCAGTTATCTTCAATTGAATACTTCATCAAACAAAAACAGGGTTTTAGGTCACTCTAGCAATGCCTCAGTACAGCTTATTGCTTTCTAACATAAGCACATAAAAATAACTCATTCTTGGCACAGAGGTGGGAATAAAATGGTGAATTGTCTTCCAGGTCAGATTTTTATAGTTATGCTTCATTCTCATTAAAATTTTGTTAATAATTAAAATAGCAGACACTCCCACAAAAACACATTCCAAAAAGAAAAGACTTCTGGATTATTCAAAACCATTGTTTTGCTAACTACTACAACGAAGTCATCCAAAAACATAAATAAACTTATTCCGAATGATAATTCTAAAAGTAAATCCAAACAGAAATACCTGGCATAAACCAACATCATAAAACAATCTGATCTACAGTCTTTTTACACAGTCTTCAACTATAAATAGCAAGAAGACATAACTTCTTACTCCTTTTTGGTTTCCTCAGAAGACTTGTTTTCTTCCTTCTCTTCATTCTCAGGTTCCCCCTTTGGTTGCTCTGTCTCACTAGATGTTGCAGGTGGAGTTTCATTCTCTTGTTCTTCTACAGTGGAGACAGATTCCTCTGAACTTATGTCTGGTTCTAAAAAAATCAGGTTAGCAGAATTATATTAGGTAGATGTATTAGAGCTTGAGTCAACAAAAGAGTTAAAGCTTATTTTATTAAACAGACCAGCCAAATGTTCTAATTAACAGGTGAATTCTAAAATGAACAACAAATGACTGAGTACAGTTTTCTTTCATTTCTTTATGTCACTGAATTTGCCTATTCAAGTAGTTATTTATCCAGACCATTTTGTAAGAAAAGGAGATGGACCAGGAAATTACACTGAGAGAGAAAATTGTTTTACAACAAATCTTTTGCAATATCGAGACCCGTAATTAAGAAATTAGCCATTTTATAATTTAATGGACAAATCTTAGAAAGAGAATAAGTAACAAAAAATGAGCACATATTTTCCAAGTGGAATGATGGTGGCAAGGGTAAAATATGAGAGGGAGAACACTGAGGTCTGCAGTTGTTTGTGCTTTTTCTTCACAACATGTCTCTTTCAGCAGCTACTATATAACACAGAACCCCAGGCACTGTTTACAAAGAAACTTCAAAAAAAAAAAAGTACTCCAGTGGCAAAAATTAGGCAAAGAATAAAAGTATATGCTTAAAGACTTTGATCATTTAAATTATGTGAACTCATTACTAGAATAATGATGAGGACTTTTCTGTGGCCTTCACATAAACAAATAAAGAGAATTTTTAAAATGTCACTTCTTTTTTATAACTAAACTACATAAATACAATTTTAAAGGATTTTCTAGTCTTTCAGGAAATTAAAATTATAAGCCATAAATTTTAGAACAGTCAACTATCATTCACAAACCCTGTCCTGGATTATGCTCTTCAACTAGACTTGCATAGACCAGACTGGTCCAAACTCCCATATCTGTTCAGCCAAAACTAAGGTTTTAGAGTCAGACACACTTGGATTCAAATTCAGTCTATAACCTTCTAGCTCAATGATCTTAGGGCAAGTTCTTTGACATCTCCAAATCTCAGTATCCTTACCTCACAGAGTTATTATGAGGATTATATAAAATGTTTTAGGAAAAGCCTGTCGGCCAGTATTTGTACTAAGTGAGAGATTCCTGTCCTCCTTTGGCCTTTTCTGCTGCTTCTGGAAGTGTTTTCCAAATGCTTAGGATCACAAAGTATTAGGGTCAGAACTTCATTATAACAATGGTATCTGGGGATACAGATAACTGCATTTAGGTTTCCCACAGTAAGATGTATTTTTCACCACACTGTATATTGACAAAATAAAATTTTAAAGGGGGAAAAAAAAATAAGATGTATTTTTCATCGTGATGTATATCTTTCACAGCCCCTCGCACCAACCATTTGACCTAACTGGATGCATGGGTAAGAATTTACTATTAATCATATGTTTATTTATATATTGCCTTATTCTAAAAAAGGATGAAAGACTAAAAGCCATTTACTGGGTTTTACTATAATAATACAGCTATAAATTCAATTTCACAATATTTTCTCAAGAATAACTGCTTAAGAGTTATGACTTAATAGAGGTTCAGTCACTCTACAGACATTGAGACATGACATTTTCACCTTCTAAAAATCTTTAAATATGAAATATTACTCTTCCCATATGGTCTGGCAATGACATACCAAAAGCTACCACTTCTCTTTTTAAATGTTCCCCTGAAACACTTTGCCATGAAAAAAGAGCAATTAAATTCAAAAGGATTTATGTGACACTCCAAATTGCAGTAAAAACTTCTGCCTTTTTAAGTTGTACCACTGCTTTACTTTACCTGGCTTTTCTTCCTCCCCTTCAGCAAGCTTACTTTTGGGAGGAGTTTCCCGGGTAGAATTCACAGCTCGACGAATTGGCATGGTGCTATCTTCTACCTTCTAAGAAAAGAGATGGCCATAATCAAACATGCATAAAAAAATTTTCTTTTCTCTCCTTCTCAAGGGGCCTAACTGGGTGTCAGAAGATGTAGGAGTATTCCTCAAGTTGACTCCAGGATCTGATGCAAATTACTTTTAACAAGCTTTTTTGAAGTGAAATACAACCTTTAAAAAAATACTTTTCAAAATATTTTAGCTAGAATTTCAAATGGAAATAAGTAATTATACTTTATTTGGAATAAATTTAGAAGACTGGAGGTTTCCTTGGGAATTTGAAGGGAAAGGGAAGATGAAAAGAACTTTGTATCTATTTGATTTTTTTCAGATTCACAACCTAGACTCCCCAAAGTAAGGGAAGGAACATGTACCAAGAAGGACCCAGCAGGGCCTGAAGTCAGGGACTGATCCAAGAGTGAGCTTCAAGAATGCGTCAGCCCCTACCTCACCTAACTTGTCCGCGTGGATCAGCTGAGCTCCTACTATAAGTGGGAGTGCCTTAGGATGGACGAGTTCACCTTGAGACGTATCAGTCGCCATTTAATATAATTTCTAGGCCCGAGTACAGGTTACACTCTGAAGCCTCTGCTGTTAACCACAAGGATTTTTCCTAATGGTTTCAGTGTGGTGAAGATTCAACCTAAAGCACAGAAAAGACCTGGTGTGAAGATGAACAGAAACAGAACTAAACTAAAATGTCTAAATTTAATATACATCCAAAGGGAAAAAATATAACTATAAAACTTATAGTTAAGTGACAGATGACTTGGTCAGTTATTATTCGGAAAGATAAACCACCATCAAAACATAGACTATGTAAAGCAGCAACTAAGACAAATGCATAAGCCACAGCAGCTGTTGCACCTTCCGCATGAACAAAGGCAACAAGGACAAGAAAGCTTATACAGAACCTAACTCCATCCCCTCCTGCTACCATCAGGAACTTAGAAGGATAGAATAAGGAGACTAAGGAACAGTTCAGTCAAATGTTTAGTCAAAGATCAGTTTACTAGAGAGAGAAGGCTTTCGTTGTTATTGTTCTCAAAGGAGTCAGGAAAATTAATTGTAATCTTAACTCTATCTCCATTAAAGAACTAATTTTTTTCTCTATTAATGGAAAATACAAAGGCAAAAATACTGCTGAAAAACATTATATTCTAAGTGCCTCCAGACCCAGAGAAGTAAATTTAGACCATTACCTAGGAGAATTCAAGTATGCTTCCAAGACCTTATTTGTCATATTTTTAATGTAAGCAAAATTAGTAGAGAAGAAATATAATTAATATTCAAAGACAAAACCCATGTAGTCACTCAAATTTACCTGATCATTAACACCCACCCCCTCCCATCTCATCTAGGACTCAATAACTAAAATTCCTCAATAAAAATTTATAATAAAAATTCCTCAATATAAGAAAATGATCATTTAAGTGTTTAGACCTCTGTGCTAATGAACAATTAACAAAGAGTTGGGGGATGACAGATTTGTCATTCAACCTCTACATTAAGCTCTAACCCTGTCTAGGAATTCAAGCGCTTTCAACTTCTCAGGTAATAATCCCAATCTACAACTAAAATAAATCCAAGGCTGGCCGGTTAGCTCAGTTGGTTAGAGCATGCCTTACAACACCAAAATCCATAGGTTTGGATCCCTGTACTGGTCAACCACCAAAATATATATATATAAAATAAATCCAAGAAATTCAAACATAGAGAATGCTTTCACATTTATAGGGAAAATCTTTTCATGGGAACACCAAGCACAATACCAAACTTGTGAATCATCAATCAGCTGTAAGGAAAGGCAGCTGAAAGAATTCAAGATATGATAATACATTAAAAATTATTATCAATAGTGAATTAGGAATATCCATGAATACTTAAAAGTACTAACTGTTACAAAAACTATGTAAAAGGCTCATGTAGAAATTCACTTCAAAAAATTATAAAATACAGAATGAAATTAGTTGTTTTCTGAACTGTGAAAATAGGGCCAAATTGGTTTAAGGGCATCATTGAGGTTTGTGAAAACTAAAAATCTATCTTGGGATAATTTCAATATATAAACTTGCTCATTCATCCAACTAGCACTCATACAGTAATATATTTTCCTTATAATAAAAAAAAAAAATAAACTAGGCTGCTTAGCTTGGTTGGTTAGTGTAGCATTGATAACACCAAGATGTGGGGTTTGATCCCTGCCAGCAAACAAAATAAAACAAACAAAAAACTAAGCAAATCTGCTGATATTTTTACATGCAAACTCACTCTATAGAAGTGAAACTATATCACAATAAGATTATCCTTGGTAAAGTGATATTGCTAATGAATTTATCTTTCTTAACCTACAATAACACCAGCTAGGTTGAAAATGCTACCAGGAAGTCAGCGAAACCTTCAGGAGTTCCTGTTCATAGGCATATCTTTTAAAAATATCTTCCCTGTAAACAAAATACTGAAAAGTGTCAAAACCTTTCTAGTCAACTCTGTATTCATGAATTACTCAAAATTAAAACAAATGGGTTAAAAAAGGAGGGTGGGTGCACAGGAAAATACTCAGTATCAAAATGATAAAACTGACTAAAATTAAAATCAGGGCAATGACAGGTTCACAGCCCATAAAGACATCAGACATCATTAAACTAAGGACAAGAATGATAGTTTAAATTAGGCCAGATAAGAAGTATGCCCAGGTTGTAATAACTTAGAGATCAACTGGCTTGCCAATCTTCCTGGCTGCATCCACCAAAAAAAAAAAAAAAGATCCTGACATTCTCCTGCTTAAAACTTCCAATACCGCCTCTCATTAATCTCACTTCCTACTACTATACCTATCACTCTCCTCTCTTGGCTCCAAACACATAGATATTCTTTTGGGCCTTGCAATGTGCTCTGCTCCATGCCTCAGAGTATTTGCACTTACTGGTCTCTTAAACTGGAACACTCTTTCCCTAGACCCTTCAAAGCAGGTTTCTGCTCAATATCACCCCCTCAGAAAGTCCTTCCATCTTTCTTATTCTTCTTCAGGTTTCTTTATAATATTTACCACCACCTGAAATTCAATGTTTGTTTATTTCTTCATTACGTGTGTCTCCCACCCAATGAAAGCACTACAAGGACTAAGACTTTAATCCACTCCTGCACCTACTAGAATAGTATCCAACACATAGTGGATACTCAATATTTATTTTGAAAAAAGCTGAATGAACAATGACATCTGACAGTACTTATTACTTCATTTAGTATATCTGAATAACGTTAAAAAAAGATAGAACCCATAGTTATTTAGGAAAAATATTAAGAAATGCTTGCCTCAGCTCTGAGTTTCCTTAGTAAAGGTTGTGGAACTCTAAAACTTCACTCTGTAGTATTTTCTGTATAATAGGTGGGTTAATGGATTATTTAATAAATCCACCGTTCATTACAGAGTTAACAAAACTAGGGCTGGTCAGTTAGCTCAGCTGTTTAGAGTGTGGTGCTGGTAACACTAAGGTCTGGGATTCGATCCCTGTACCAGCCAGCCGCAAAAAAAGAAAGAGACAAAAAACCCCAAACTGTATGGATAGTTAATTCATACTGCCTTAATATCACCATGTACCTACTAACTAACCGTTTTGCTACTGCACTTCTGAATGATCAGACTTTTTAGGCTGCCACGCTTGTTCCCTGACTTGCCCCCCAGCTAGATCTCATTTAGTTGGTTCACTGCTGCATACTTGGTGCCTAAGACCATACCAGGCACAGAACAGGTGCTCATCGAATATCTGTTAAATGAAAGAATGAATAATTGAAACTTATGTTTTTGACCTGGGTTCTTACATGTGCCCCAAATAATGAGTTATCTGTGGCATATGTGGTCCACCTGTGGTCAGTTTGTATTTTACTTAATGTTAGATTAACACAAAGATTTGCTTTTGTCAAGGGAAATGTTTAAATTGTTTTAATGCAGGCAATAAAGAAAGGACTGTAGAAGTAAAAAGCCTAAAATCTCAGAATTTATTTATTCCCTCTATATCAAGAGAAAGCCACAGAGTAAGTAGAAGTTTAACAATGTATTTCAGTTTATTGATGTCTTTGATAATACGCATTTTAGGGAAAGTACTACTATTTCATATTTCATCATAAAACATGTAATACATTATACATAATAATGTCATTAGTTATGCACTGAATACCTCAAATTGTTCCTAACGTGAAGTCGTTCACTATACTCAGATTTAATGGGTCATGTCACAAAAAGCACGTCTGCAATTTAACTGCTGACAACATTTTTTTTTTCCACTTTCGCATTCAGTAAATCAGCATGTACTGTTTACCCTGGGCACAGACGATAAGGACACTACGTGGTCCCTCCTCTCAAGATAATCACAATCTAACTGGCTAGAATTAAGACTTTCATCTATACATGAAGAGTCAGTATACTTCCTCCACAAAGTTCCGGCCCTTAATCTTCCAAGTAAGCTTAAAAACAAAGCCAAAGAAACCCCACAAACACCTAAAATGTTACTTCTACTCTGAAGCAAATCACACTAATAAAATTTTTTAAAGTTAATAAGCTTTACGCCTAGGCCAGATTAAACAAAAGTAAAGTTCCTTCCAAAATGACACTAGTCATGTTTAATCTCACTCTAAGACAAAACAGCTTGCTCCAAAAGTCTCAGGTGACTCCCTAGCCGTATTTCTAACTGGATTCTCACTTTCCGATGGAAAGTCAGGAAGCACAACAACAGAGAGAGAATTTACACGCGGAAGGGGCAGGGCAGTTCACCCTGTCTAATCCTCTGATTGGGCAGGAGAGAGTCCTCCCTCAAAAGGGTTAAGTGACTGTCCGGAGTCACAGACAGTGGTCAATTCGGTGTCAGACCTCAGCTCTGGGGCTCTCCCTTCACCACTCCTGCCTCCATGTCTTCACCAACGCTCAGACCGAGAGAGGGAACGTTCTGACGGCCTACCGCAGCACTGCTCTACCTCAGGCCACACCGTCGAAGGTGCGGCGAGTAACAAGGTCTGGTTTATGCCGCACGGGAAGACGAAAGCTTAAGGCCGCCGTCGCAGCAGCAGCAGCAGCAGCAGCAGCAGCAGCAAAGCCAACAGCTGGCACCCCCGACCACAGAAAGCTGAGAGGGGCTCGGCAGAGAGCAGCGAAGAGACAAAGAGGCGAGGCAGCGAGAGGCAGCGCTACAGGGTCCCTGTGGAGAACGCGCACACACTGGGGGGAGAGAGCGGGGCCAGATGAAGGCCGGGGAGGCTCAGGACGGCGGACACCGAGGAGCTGAGGCGAGGGCTCAGCGCGGTGACAGCGCAGGGCTCCCGTTCCGCAGGGACGCGGCAGCGCCCGCCTCGGCGACGCAAGAAGCGGCGGACCGCGAACCTCAGCGCGGCGCACACTCACCACTGGGAGCTCCGTAAGGGCGACGGCGGGGGCGGAGAACCCGGGGGGGCGGGCCCGCCGCAGCCAGTCACCGCCGCCGGCATCTTTCGAACCGGCTCCGAAAACCGCTGAGGGAGTGGGGTGAGGGGCAGGCGCGGGCAGACGACTGGCCTCCGCGGCCTCGGAGCATGCGCAAGCCCTCAGCCAATCCGGGCGCCGCGGAGGACGCTGGCGCAAGCGCGCTGGGACGCGGGGTCGCACGGCCGGGGAACGCTACCCCTCCTCCCCCAAGTCCAAACAAAACAAGGGCGGGAGTGCGCGCACCGAAGGGCCCTGGAGGAGGCGTCGGCGAGAGGGGCAGGGGGCTAGGTTGCAGTGGGGAGGGGGAGGGGGGCGGAGCGGCCGCGGAAGGCAGACAAAAGGCGCCACCCCCGGGGCCCTGGGCGCCCCGCCCCCTCCTCTCGGGGAGCTGCGTC